GACCTATTTTATCTTGTGCCATTTATGTTTAAAGTGTCAAAATCAACTTTGTTTGCAGGTAAAATTCCAAATTTTTATCAGACTATTATTTATTTATTTAAACATTAAAAAAATGTTCTGAATTAATTTAAACATTTTTGAGAACTGRATGCCAACCAAGTGATTCAACTATTCATATCCATTGCATTGTTGATTTATAAAATGTTTTATATAAAAGGTACTTTAAATCRGAATTAAGTATTATCATGCAAAAATAAATGTTACCATGTATTCGAATTAAGAAAACTGAAATATGATCGTTCTTCATTTTTCTACCTCATTCAGGAACCGAGCCTGGACGTTTGCGTCAGTGTGTTGAACCCACTGCTGTCTGACGCTGAGCGTTCAGCCTCTGTCTTCCTGAAGGTCACTCTGGAAACAGCTTACTCCGTCCCTGAGTCGTGGACGCTGCCTTCAGGCATCGCTCCCAGTCCATTCACATATACTGCTGCCCTGGACGTCCCTCTTACTGCCGAGGTCAGTTTTTACGCTCTACTTCTTWCTTGACTGTTTTCAGTTTTACTAGTGCATTGCTTCAAGAGAAAAAAAAAATAATGGAAACACAAAAATAAACGTCTCTATATGTGCATTCTTCTGTCTGGTCTAGCAAGATCAGGTTTTGATGTTCTGTGATGGACAACTAAAGGCAGGAGGCCAGAGGGAGGTCAAAGGTCGTCAGATGAAAAGGCCTCATCGGGCCTTGTTAGTACCAGAGAACCACTGCTACCCTGAAACCTTTCAGACACAGCCTATCATCCAGGAGAACGGAGAGTTGACTTCTTTAGAGGTAATCACCAGCTTCAACGGTACACATGCAGCTGAGCAGTGTTAGCTGAAAATAAACTCATTTTGGTCACCAACATGGACAGCCAAAAAAACAAAAACAACATGATAAACTAGTGATTCCTCGAGTAAGTCCAGAAATGTGCTAATTTTGAAATTAATTATATGAAAATGACTTAAGATTCACTTCAGGAAATGACATCATGCAAAAGTTCTGAGTCAGCTGTTCCTGCAGGATCAGGCATTTCGTAACAAGGCAGAGATCAGAAAACCCCGAGTGAGCTGGGACACAGAGATGTGCTGCTTCCTGGATGCAGGAGGAGCTTCCAGGTCAGCTGCACACAACTCCCTGTGATCATCAGACCATCTGCTGTCAGAAATACAAACTAACATCTGCTGAATGAAAGTCACTCATCAGGTCTCTGGATATTAAATTAGGATTTAAATCAGGACAAAGTTGATGCTTTTTATAAATTAGGGTATTTCCAGAATATTTATGCAACCAAGGAAGATATAATGTAAATGTAATATATTAACATCAAGCAGAATTTTAGTTTGTATCTTGTGAAAAACAGTAAAAAAAAAGAAAAGTGAAAAAATGTGGAACCCATTATCCTCCATTTTTTGTTTAGATGTCATTTTCATGTTAAAAAATTGCATAGATCAGTGATCATTTGCTTTGAAAAAGAAAAGAAGTGTTACATTAAAGGTCAGCTATAAGGACTTGATAGTAAATGATTTTTTTAAAAGCGAGGAAGCTGTAATGAAGACGAGGGTTAGATTTAGTCTTTTGCACAGGACTGTTTGTAGAACTTCAGTTACTATGATTACAGGCTGCAGCAGAAAATCACTGAGAGCAGATTGTGGCCGGTGGAGATCATGAGGTCGAGACGTCCTCTGGACAAGGTTGGGAATATTTTTCAGTCTCTTCCCACGTTTGGTTTTGTTCATTGTTTAGCTTAAACTGAGCAAGCTAAACTAAAGCTCAGAACTGATGGGTAAATTGTGTGTGTGTGTGTGTGTGTGTGTGTGTGTGTGTGTGTGTGTGTGTGTGTGTGTGTGTGTGTGTGTAGCTTGGGGATGACGACCCAGAGATCCCCTGCCATGGTTTGGTGTTTGTGGACATGGGGCAGCTGCTGTATCCTGGAGTCAGCAGCATTCGAGGAGCGTACACTGTTCATCCCTTCTGCCAGGCTGAGCTGCTGAACCAGGTCACACACATACAGAGCCGCTGAGAAATTTAGCTTGTCTRGTTTTTCTCCTTTGCACGTTTACAATTTTTAAAATAAACAAGCAATGAATTGTCTCTTTTATTTAAGGGTTTTCCTTTTGGAAATTTGTCAACTCTTGTGTGTAGTAGGCTGCAGAATGTTTCCCTTTATTTTGCTGCTTTTTAGTGTATGTAACATTTGTATGGTACAATGGTGTTTTGATGACAGGCCTCTATTTAAATGTTGATCCAAGCATTGCTTTTATTCTCAAAGACCAAGAGGAGAGTCAGTGTGCTAAAGGAGCAGGCTAAGGCAGCAGCTGCCATGGCTAAAGCTCGTGCCACCTCTTCTGCTGGATCTCAGAGAAAAACGGGAAAAAACAGAGGGGCCAAGGAGTCTACAAAGGTCAGAAACATGATGATGGCTAAAAAGGTCATGTAACCCAAAATGTGCTAAATTTTACTTTTATTTAAAAGAAATAGCTTGCGTTTTGCATTGCCTCTCACCCAACTTACCAGGATTTTATGAATGAAAAATGTTTTGTTGTGATTGTTGGAGCCTAATAATCTCATTTGTCTGTCGACAAACTGTCAATCAGATCCAGCTGCCCAGAGCTGATGACAAAACTGAGAGCTGGTCTGACTCTGACACASTGGTCAACACAGAGAGAAATGTAAGGTTCTGATAAACAGAAACACAKCTCTGTTGCAGTGAGTGTTCACACAAACATGATACAACTAAACTGTGTMGTCCAACACTATTCACTGCTCTGATAATGTACCCCAGAAATAGGATTCAGTTCCTGCTGCACGCTTTACATTGGCTATACTATAAAGTTACTTTGTGTTAATGATTTTACTGTTAGTAAATACTTTTATCAGCTCATTTTTGTTATTAACAGATGTACGCGGAGGCCAGAACTTATGTTATCATTGAAATAACTTTGAATAAACCACTAGTGCCAAAACAATCTCCAGAGGAGCTGGCAAAAAGGTAAATTTTTGACTTAAWTCTTTTACACATTACTTTGTCATATTGCATAACCATAACCATTCAAAAATAAATTATAATTCAGCACTATACCTACAGAGAGAACTTACAGTTTGAAAATCCTTTTATGTGACTGAAAGTTAACTGTTGCTGTTATGAGTTTAAAACMTGTCCTTTTCTAAAGTTACGTCTTCATRACCTGCAGCCTCATAGTAAATGTTTCATATTCATTTGTCTTCTTTTCTGTTATATTTATTAGCTGTTCTTTGGTTTTGACTGACTATAGAGGAGTAAAAAATGGGATTATGGGATGTTGTGTTTTGCATCCCACAGGATACAGGCCCTGATCCCACCCAGACCTCAGCATCCAGTGGATCCAAGCAGAGCAGAAAGAGTAAAAAACAAAATTAGGCCACATATAAAAGCTGTYTATGAAGCAGGTTGGGTCGTCACATAGTCTGAGCGGGTTCTCTCCTCTGATGGGTGATCCTGTAGGCTGTACTGGACTTCCACAGGCAGATAGGCAACACTTTGGCTGTTATTTCCGAGCAGTATGACGAACTATTTGGAGCCGAGGGCCGTTCGCCAAAAAGTCTTAGCCGAGAGGAAATGTTGGCCGAGCTGATGGGTGGCCTCAATGTCTCTGGGAGGTATTTCACCTTCAAGGAACAGATAAAGGTCAGAGCAAAGAACCTTCTTCCTCAAAACCATTTCTTGTGTTTAAATCTATAAAATCAGCTCACTTTTACCAGACTGACAAGATCTTGTGTGTTTTGGGCACGTAGAAGGCTGTGGTTCGAATCGTCCGTGACAAGATGCAGCAAACCGAGCCGCTCACTGACCCCCAGGAGCGTAAACAATTTGTCAGCAAACTCTACGGCTGCCTGGTGAATGAGATGCGCATAGCTCTCCTAAAGGTAACYAACACACAGGCAAGCAAATATGACATTTGCAAGTTTCCTCCATTTTATCCTTTTTTCTGCGATAGATTTATTCGAATGACGCTGCCGAAGACGACACAGAGGAAGTCTCTTTGAAGTCATCTCAGCTCAGACATTTCGCCAGAGAGGCACAGCTTCTTGGGAATTATCAGCTGTCAGCTAAGTACTATAAGGAGGTGCACAAATACTTAAATATTAAACACACCATGACAACCTTTAAATAAAAGCTGTGAACCTTTATAATATTTTAATACAGTATATTTCTTTATGCATGTGTTGCTACGTATGTGTAATATGTAAAATGTATGTGTAATTATAATACATAATATGTGCAGTTGACTTCTAAAAATGTGCATATTTTTTACTGTGGCTGATAAAGTAACTGAAACTACATTTTAAGTTTATACTTTTGGACCTGCAGTTAGTGGTGAGGCACCCTGATGAGCCCTCACACAAGTTTGAGTGGGGAAGCCTGAACATGTTGAGCGGAGACTACATGCAAGCAGAAGTGTGTTTCCATGATGCTGTGTCCACKCTGCAAGTTCACCAATCCAGGTTAGAGATGCTTGAAAAACATWTAAAGGATCTAAACGATGTCACAAATGTACGTACAGCTGATCATTACGGAAGCGTATTGCTATCACGCAGGAAAAAAAAAAATCAATCGTTGTTTAGTTCAACAGTTAGCCTCACAATCCTGAGGCTGCAGGTTCAAGCCCCGGTTGTGTCAGGAAGGGTTAAACCARTGGCAAATCTTTTGGTGCAGGTTCATTAGCTGTGGAGACCCCTGAAGAAAAAAAAACCCATTTAGCTTAACAGAGAATTGGTTAAAACTGTTTTTAAAAGAAAAAAGTAGTGTGCACAACTCAAATACAAAAAAGAAAAAAAAGTAAACGGGTGCTTGGTTCTGAGGAATAACAAAAATGGCCTAACTTGTTTTCTGCCCATATTAAAACATGTTGTATTTTTTGGAGTGCTGGTTATCCCGTTTTTGTAAAACCAGTTTTTAGATAATTTGYAAGTCAGACATTTGTTATAGCTTTAGTTGATGAGGATTGAAAAGTTTGTTGAATGCATCCATCAGGTTCTGTGATCTGTCACTTAGGACAGCATTACTCCAGCAGGTTAGTYAAAAAGAAAGCAGACTGGTATGTGGTAAATCAGGTTAACTCAGGCACTTCACGTTATTTTTCTAAAGTTCCATTTGTTTTGTCCTGAAAACAATTTTTTATCTGAGGGTAGAAGAAAAAGCATGGCATATCTATTAGAGTTGGTTTGTTGATGCTACAAAATATAAGCGACTTGAGGGTCTGAGTGTGTTTTGAAGACAAGCATGAGGTCAATGCTAGCAAATATTATTCAAAATCCAACATAGCCTTTTTATGGACACAATACTTTGTTTGTTTTTTTCTCTTTCTCTTTGTCCAGTCTGATAATGTGTGGAGTTTTGGCCCTGATGTTTGAGCGTTACAAAGATGCTCAGACCTTTCTGGAACGAGCCACCACCATAGACCCACCCAGTGTGCCGGCCTGGGTGCTGCTGGGTGAGATGAAAAACAAAGTTTGCTCTCAATCCTGTTTCACCCAGATATTAGTCAGTCTAGTACATTTTTTTTAATTCCATTGGAATAGAGGCTGAGGAATCAGAATTGTGAATAATGTGTAAATACCAATGATATGTGGTCTTTTAACAGCATCTTGAAGMTTTCTAAGCTTTGGGCTTTAGTAATTTGACATTTCTGGATCCGTTGTTCAGGTTTGCTTCATGAGGGCAACAATGAATCCATCCTGGCTGAGAGGGCTTTTTTAGAGGCCAGCAAGTTGCTTGAGGAGGATAAATCAAGCAACCAAACTCCCACAGAAAAGGAAAAGAAAGACAGTGAGGACCTGCAGGACGAAGTGGAGACAGCTGACCCAMCACAGTGTCAACCAGCTGATCAATGTGAGGCATGGCATTAAAAAATAATAATAATCCAAGGAAGAAAAGAAAATATATGAAATATATCCTAACATGATGTCAGAACCTAATGTCATTGAGTTAATATACCCTATTGACAAAAACCACCTGGTGATAAAACTCATCTTGTCTTTACCGCCTTTCTCCTGAGACTCTTCGGTGCACGTCAGCCTCGAGTGCATAGGGCACTGAATCCAGATGCCTTGAAACTGAAGTTGTCTGACAGTGTTATTTATTTCTCTGCCAGACCCAGAGTTTGTAGACYGGGAAGCAGAAGAGCTTTCAGAACAAGACGACAGCTTCAGATCAACTCCAGCTGTACCCAACTGTACCATTTTCACACAGACAGTCCACTTCCTGCTGCAGAACAARGCCTTGGAGGTATATTCACTGACCACACACCAAGCAAAAATGAGTTAAAATAACTTCCAATGTGCACAACGGCTCTCATCTGATTGTCAGTTTAGTATGTTGGTTATGAATTGTTTTATGCTCACTAAGAAATATAGCTTTGATTTGAAGTAAAATAGTCTACAAAAAAAGAAATATTATAAATAACATTTATAAAATAAATGTCAACGTTTGAACACTCAGCTGAGTTTGAACAGAGATGAAATGACATTGTATACAGCTGTAGAAGTCACTGTGTTCTGTTGTTAGATGGCAGAACATGCTTTGTCCCAGGAGCTGCTGTGCATTAAAGGTGATCGCAGCGTTTCCTACCTCTTCAATCTGGCCCAGCTGCAGCTGCTCAAAGGAGACTACTGCAGTGCTGCTGCCAGCCTCACCCTGCTTCACAGAGATCAGGTACTTTCACATCAACTGGATGGAAAGTAACACGTGTACTTTGCAGACTCTTTTTGTTAGACGGATGTGTCAAACACTACAGTCTTCGACTGAACACACACACACTGCAGTGACAGACGATCCAATGGGATGGACTGCTGACATGTGGTGCGACTCAGTTCTGTTCATTATCAGCCTGTGCAGCGTTAGCCCCCCCCCCGTTCAGCCCTCTGCAGGAGAAAGTGGGTATAGCTAATGTCTCTACGGATCCAACAAATAGAAAAAAAAGTGTACACAGGATTACATTTAGTTGGGATGTTTCTTGTTTTTTAGAATTTAAACAACAGTCCACTTRTGAACTTTTTTAATGCCACTCCATAAGAGATCGTCTTGAGATAGGTTCAGTTTTTTTAAAAGCATATTATATATCTATTTTTTTCTCACTACCTCATCGTCACAAAGCAAAAATCCCTGAATTTGGGCATTACATTATGGCTGCTGTAACATTTCATCACCTTCCTATAAAAACTGGCCTAAATCATTGTTTACTTATCCAAAACCATCTTTTGTGTTGTGAAAAACATGAACAAATATGTCTGGCAATTATTTTAGGAAGGTGACGATATAAAGCAGATGGATATTTATATGATTTTTCACATGATTAGTTACAGTAARGATTTATTTTCACCTTATTCACGTGTATTCTCGAGTGAATATGTGAGGGGGGGCTCTTCTTTCCCCCCCCCTTTTTTTACACAAAGTACTTTTATTTAATTGGCATTACTTTGTAGATTCACTTTTTCACAGAAGAAATTTTTTTTTTCACTCAAAAAGGCCAATTTATATCGACTGTGGCTGATTTGAATGGCAATAAAAAGGTGAAACATCCACAGGMGTGAGTACTGTTTTTAGGTGCTGCCTCAGGATGTTTCTATGCATTAAGTGAAGATCGGGTCATGGCACATCTAGTCCATTTAATGGAACTGCTGTCCTTGTTCCAGTAAACAAGCATGGATAAAGAATTGATTTACTGTCTGAAGTATGTACCGGCCTGCTGCAGTAGCCCTGTTTCATCTCATTAGTGCTGGGCTTTTCCTGCTGACCCAGTACCTCACTAAACTGAAACAATAACAAACAATTTGGTGGGCAGCAAATTGGTACCACGGTGAGCAGTGAATTAAACAGCTGTGCACCTATCTGACCCACTTTTCTTTTTTTACAGTTACCTTTGAGTCAAGTCTGTAGGGCATGCTTTAAATAGTAGGCCACTTTGATAGTAGTAGACTCCTATAATAATAATAATAATAATAATAATAATAATAATAATAATAATAATAATAATAATAATAATAATAATAATAATAATAATAATAATACATATTAAGCCATTTTGATTTATCTCTATCTCTTTGATTATGATCATTTTGTTTCTAATATTTGCATGACAACACAGCTGCATTCCCCTGATTGAACAAACTCTACTTTAGACCTCTAACCTGAAAATAATTGTCTACAATATAAACAGGACCCAGATGTCTGGGCGGTGAGTGGTCATTGTCACTACCTGCAAGGTGCATTTACTGAAGCCCGCAAGAGCTACGAGTGGAGCCTCGTCTTTCCACAGCCGCCATCAGAACCTCACATCGTTCTTCTCCGCCTGGGATCCATCTATCTCATGGAGAGCAAGGTTAGATAAGAGCATCACTGCTGCTTGAACAGATTATGTATTTCTTTCTGTACTTGCTGATAAGGGATCATTTTTATTTTTTATTTTTTGGCTTTTTCTTGTTTTCTTATTTCCAGACAACTTTCATATTTCTAATTTAAACCTATTCAAAAGACAATAAAGATAAAACAACAGCACACCTCTGCAGTCATTCTTTGGGTTTTAACTTTCAGTTTGAGCGAGCCAGAGACGTCTACCTGCAGGCGTGTGAGCAGGCTCCATCATGTCTGACCTGGCTGGGCCTGGGAGCCGCCTTTTATCGGGTAAAACCCCGCTTGTAGAACCATTTCCTCTTGMTCCAATGTCGTTTTGTGAATAAATGCAAAGTTGTTTTAGAGCTACAGTGGACATGCTACCAAACACAAGGTAACATGAAACATTTTTAGTTTTTAGAAGGAACTAAAGCGCAGTTGTGTTTTTGTTTGTGCAGTTGGAGGAGCTGTGTGAAGCTGAGACAGCTTTGACTCTGGCCAGCAATTTGAACATGGAGAACGCAGACGTGTGGGCTTACCTGACTCTAATCTGCCTCAGGGTGAGTGATTGTTGTTCTCCAAAGCACACAAACTCACTCACTCACAATCTATCACAGTCCAGGTTTTGCCCTCATGAAGGTTTTTATTTAACACTGATTATTATTCAGTAGGTTAGAATTGACCTTTTAAACCCATTTACAAGAATACAGCCTTTATAGAGCAAAGCTGTTGTACCTGTGGTAAACACAAGGCTCCAAGAAATAGAAATGACCAGAATTACCTGWTAAATACAGTATGGTAACGTTGAGATGGTGTTAAGTCTTGTAAAACATTTTGGTTAGGGTGAAGGAAGAGCTTTGATCTATGCTAAAATAAAGAATCTAATTTATATGCAATAAACATCTTATAGTCTCACCTATAATGCAGTTCTTCATTTATGAATTAATCTGATCTCTTTGGTTTAAAATTAAACTCAAGTTCAGTTTAATCCAAAGTTACCAAAGAAACATGTGGTCAATAGCTAATCTCTTTACYGATACATCCTCCAATGTAAGTGTCAGTTTTACACTCATTAATGTTTTAATGACTATTTCATGAATTCTTTTCTTTTCAGTCTGGACGACATGAAAAGGCTGAGCTGTGCTATAAATATGCATTAAGGGTGAGTTTCTGGCAACACTTTATAACTACACCTTATTTAGTCTTAATCATCAATAACTGGTTAGTTAATTAATAAGCTATAAATTGACACGTTTATTAATTCTTTACCCATAAAGACTAATTACTCCCAAAACCAATAAATAGTAATTAATAAACACACCTAAACCTCATGCTCCTTATTTAAGAAATACATCCATGTCTCCATAACTTTTGCACAATATTGTGTTCTTTATTTTACATAAAAAACAACACAAGGACTCTGTTTTTTGTTTGTTTACAGCTCAACGTAACGGAACCATCGTTACTCAGAGAGATCGCTGAGCTGAAGGAACAGCTGCGCTTCTCTCATCTTCAGTTATGCTTCAAAACAAATGCAGAGGCATGTGTTTGACCCCCCCACCCCCACCCCTCTCCCCGACAAAACACATGTCCAGGTACAAACACAGTATCTAAGTGCCTCCTATTTCAAGACACATCATATCATATTTAATTTAAGTGAAAATTCATAAACTGATATGCAGCAAGTTGTGATACAGGAATTATTAAGGGAAGTCGTGAGTGAAACACTCATTGTTGCAAATAAAAASAAAGCAATGTAAAAAGTGTCAAATGCATAAAAAAACAACTGAAATATTTACAAAATGTACTGCAACAACAGAAACCYTGGCAGGTTAAAAACGTATTATTGTGCATGAAGCATCTGTAATTCTCTATAAGCACTCAAAAGAACATTGTAATGCTTTTAACATTTTACAAAGCAATTCTATTCTTTCAGTACAGTTTCTCATTAGATCTATAGACATGAAATGATGTGTTTTTGGTGAGAAGAAATTTAGACCTACGTGTCAAAAATGGATTTTGGTCCGACAATAGCATAGTGTGGTAATTATATAGCAGTATGTTAATATAGAGGAGAAAGAGCTTTCTCTGTTTGTGGCCCAAGGATCTGGAACATTTGACAGCCTCCTCGTTGTCCATTCTTAAGACCCATCTGAAAAGTTACTTTTACTCATTGGCTTTTAACCCAACTGAGACTTGATTTTACTTAATTTCAGTGATTTTATCTTTTATCTCATTTATTTTTATTTTACTGATGTTCAGCCCTTTGTTTCAGCTGTGGCTGGTGTTAAAGTGCTTTATAAATAAAGTTGATGATGATGATGATGATGATGATGATGATGATGATGATGATGATGACATTTATGATTGAAAACACTCACAGAAAAGTTTTATTTTATGTTTCTCAGTGAGTCTGTAATGCATTAAGTGTGACCAACATATTATTTTCTGATTTTCAATGTCACTATTACTATTTCAAAATAAAAAAAAGAAGTAACCCAAGCTTTATGGGACATGAAACATTTTCCATTGTTTTGGCACAGTCCTTTAAGAGAAAAAAAATGGGTTGTACTTCTTTGGATGTCAAGATCAAACCCTTACATGCTGCAAGAAGTACTTTTTTTTCCTTTTGAAAATTAGTTTTTCCAAACAAAAATAACATCACAATCACAAAATGTTATCAAACATTTCCTGTTTGCCTTAAAAATGGTGAACTGACATGGCTGGGGTACATTTATGGGTTCTTTTTTTTTACAGGGCTGTTTTAATTTATTTATTTTCTGGCTTTGTGGTCTTTTTTTTTTTACTCTGCTGCAGTGAGATCACTGTCTGGCCTGAGCAACAATTTCTCGCAGCCACGGTGAATCCTCATAGAGACGAGGGTCACCCAGGTACTCTGAGGTCCTCTTGTAGAAGTAGTAGTACAAAACAGAAGCTATAAAAAAGAACAAGGAGATAAATTACATTATTATTATTTTATTATTTGCACCATATCTTATGTAATGACTGGAATGATGAGGGTTTTCATCAGACTTTGTAAAAGATCCAAACKATAAAACTGGAGATCCTCAAAAGTTACAACTAAATCAAATCATGAAACGACAAAGCAGGAAATATCATATAGGACAAAAGAAAAACCAAAAAACAATTTTTCTATATCTACATCTATGACTCCCACACTGACGTCTAGACGGGTTTCAAGTAGAAAAGAAAACAAAGAGAGAAATTGGAAACGGCATCTCAGAAAGGATTACCTGCTAAAAAAACAACACCCAAAGATAAATCCCTTCATCCTCTAATGAGCTTATATCAGTATGAAATCATAACCACATGGGAATGTGTTTATTCCACAGTCTGGAGCACAATAAAGAGGTCTAAGTCAGTCACAACAACYCAACTGGAAAGCCAGAGTTTTTGCCACTGTGACCCTGTCAATGCAGAGAGATGTAAAGTGAAAATTTAAACGTAGGCAGACTGATTGTYTTGTTTATTCAAATGAGAATAATTGTACTGTGAAGAAACTCTGTTTCTTGTAAAATTGTCCTAATTGGAGGGGAAATCTCCAGTCTGCTGCATCTTTTTTTTTTTTTTACAGGTGAGAGAAATAAAGTTTCTTTCAGGGATTTTTTTTCTTCATTTTTTTAAAGCTAGTAGGCTACTTTAGACCTTGTTTTAAACATTAATCAAACTCTGATGTGAAGGGTTCACACTTTGCAGTAAATTCCATACCTAAAATATATGCTCAGATTTCASTTATCTGCTCTGCCTGCAGCTACATGCAGCCCTGTCTCAGGGAGCTGTCCTCTGAGTGATGTTTCTGTAAAAATGGCCATATCTTCAAAAAACTGAACTTTGACATTAACATGGCTCAGAATGTTTGTAGTTGTCTCTTGATGAGATTAATAATGTAAAAGATTTAATGTTGTTTTCCTTTTGGCTGCTCCCTTCTGCAGGGATTTGACCCAGCGAGCAAACTCACATGAAGAATTAACAACTGTTTCATGCTGAAACACGGTGGGCTCCATCCTGTAGCCTCAGGATTATGCGACCGCAGCACTGACCACCAAGCTACACCGCAGCTTCATGTAAAAGATGCCGTCTATTACAATGATCAGTAATATCACAGAGCTCTGTGTCAGTGCCAAGACAGAAGATTTTGTTGTGTAAAACTCCACCGCAGGGAAACAGTGCGCTGGCACAGAACATCAGAGCTGTGCTTGGTTAGGTGAATAAAATGTGACCTAACGCTGCTCAGACTGTTACTCCTTGATTAAGACAGTTCCTTGCAGGTTACCATGACTAAAGCAGCTCCAATTAGCTTCTAAAAACAATCAGAACAAACCCAACAAAAGACACTTTTTCAGAAGCATTCCAACAAACAGTTTAAAACTAAAAAAAAATGCTGCATCTTTGAAACCCTCCTAAGAATGACCAAGATTACTGACATCCAGAAAACTCTGCTGCTTGTTGAGATCGAGTCAGTCCAGCAGGAGGTCCTACACTTTGTCTCAGGATGGATTGAGTTCAAACAAACATGTGATTAATAAGGAGTCCAGACCACCTCCAAAGCTGGTCTGAGGGAAAATGTTTTCAATGTGCACTGAGGTTCACAGCTGTATTTAGCACTATTCAAATAACAGGTAGAACAGGTGATAAATCTTTGAACTAAAGATTTATCACACATAAACTGTACATGTACTTAATTAGGTACAGTTGTTTTGGGAGGACATTCAAAACTCCTGTGAACTGGGAATAAATGGATGTACTGGGACTTCTGTTTTCTTCCACCAAAGTGGAAACAAATTCATCTAGCTGTCAAAAGGATGAATAATAAAAATGTCATCTCACCAGATCTTTGGAACATGAACAGAACCTGAAGGCCGTCTGTCCAAACAAATCCGTTGGTGTTTAGCCAGCGCAGATTCTGACAAGAATGTGGAGGGAAAAAAAACAAACACATTTAAACAGATTGATAAGAATGAGAGCAAGGTGTAAAACATAGACTTTAATACCATTCTTTTAGAAGTTCAGAAACACAAGTTATTATACAAATATCCTAAGTAAACAAAAAAAAAATACCACAAGCCAGGAGTGGAGTATGATACTGAAGGTGAGGTAGAGAGCAGAGAGCATCAGCAGGGCTCTAAARTGCTCCAGCAGGATGGCCACCAGGCCAACCTGAAACACGTAGGTGTTGAACAGCATCAGCAGAATGATGATCAGGTTAAACAAAATGCAAATGTCCTGGATGCTGTTGAAGAAAAAAAAAAACCGTAAGCAGCAAGAATACACATTTTAAACCGAAAGTTAACACAGTTCCTCTCTTTATGTTTAATTCATGTCTGCTCGTGTGCTATTTTTAACTTAGTGTTTTACCTTCGAGCTAAAAGGAGACTTTAGGCTGCTGAAACAGTGAGAATAGTTGGACTCACATGAAAAGTACCAACTGCGCAGCTGGTTCAGTCCTCAGCAGCTCGCCAAAGGAGTTGACGAAAAGGTCAAAGGTCAGCAGGCCGAGCTGGATCAATATCACCAGGGAGTAGTTGCTGGTTTGGAGCTTCTCCGGCCCAAGGGCCGGATGCCCCGGTGCATTGTGGTTCCAGTGTGAATCCAAGGCTACGCTACGCTCTCAAACACACCACAGAGAAACATTAACCTGTATGCAACAGGTTGGACAGCTTGGAGGCTTTAGTGGAGGGATTCAAACACCCCCAAGTTTCTAAATGCAGGCAACGTGTGTTAAACACATGTTCGAATATAAGCAAGTTTATTTTGTAGAAACTAAAGTCTTCTCAAACTGTGAATCAGAGCCTGGTATGGGAGTTTGCTGCCAGGAAACAGGAGGTGTCAACATGTTACTGTTGATTTTTCTAGTTCCTATATAAAGAGATGGAAGCAGTCTGTGGAGGTTCATAGCAAAACTGGTGACACATTGGTTCTCTGGCAGAGGCAGTAGAGATCCTGTGTAAGAACAAAACAAATGTATTAGTGTTCTGCAATGTTTCGCTCTGAAGAGTTCATCCTGATGAGCAACTCTTATTCTATTTAAGATTTATATAGATTTGAATTCAACAAAATATGCTTTTGACTTGGTTTGCTATACTGTCGATTTGGCACAAGACCTATACATCCACACATGTTCTATAGAAGAGAATTAAGAGAGCATGTGCAATCCTAATCCCAAAAGAGCTGAGACATTGTGTAAAACAAATGTAAAACAAAATAAAATAACATACAAATCCAAAACTTTAAACTACAAAAATGTATTTTAAAAACGTGTTTTTTAGGGGAAAAAAGAATTTGAATATGATGGCAGCAATACATCAAAAAACATTGGGACAGTCTTTTACAAAAGAAAAAAGTAAGTGGTAAGAAAAAGAAACATCTACAGGAGCATTTTGAAACTAATTATCATAGAGTAATTAGTAACAGGTCAATAAGAGGACTAGGTATTATACAATATTTCAGAGAGTCTGAATCTCAAAGGTAAAGATAGGCAGAAGTTCAATTTAAAAAAAATAAACTGTGCCTAAAAACAGTGAAATAATTTTAGAATATTGAGCCTAAACTGAAAATTAGGAAGGCTTTTAATATCCTCTTATTAACAGGACATAATTTCATCAAAAAGGTTTCAAGAATCCAGAGAAATCACTGTGTGCAAAGGACAGGCTGAGAGTCAACATTGTATTCCTGTAATGTTCAGATCTTCAGACAGCACGGCAATAAAATCAAGTTTGATTTGATAACTTACTTCACCACATGTATTAATTTCTTGTTTAAACTGGATTGAGGAAAAGTGGAAAACGGTTCCTTAGTCAGATAAATAAAAATTTGAAATTCTTTTTGGAAACCACAAACACTATGGTCTTCATGCTAAAGGAAAGGACCATCCAGTCTGTTATCAGCGAGCAGTTTAAAGGTCTACTTCTCTGATGGTATGGTAGTGCATGAATGACCAACTTACACATCTGGAAAGGCACCATCAGTGGAGAAAACTACATACAGTGTGTTACTGCCATAAAAGTTCAAAATATACAATTTTTTCATAAATATATATTTTTACATTTTTTATGTTTATTGTTTGTAAATGAAACATGCATGAGGTTTAAAAATTATTGCATTCTGTTATTTACATTTTACACAATGCCCTAACCTTGTTCAGTTTGGGGTTGTACAATTGTGTTTGTGTTATGATAAGAAATGAGATTGCACTTTAGTGAAACTTCAGCTGGGGGATTCTAATGCAGCAGCAGCAATGCACACAAACACCATAAACATCAACTGAGACAAAAAGAAAATCAATAAGAAAACAACATAATATAAAAGGAAGTAAGTCTGTACACACTGTACACTAATGTTAGGTACAGTATTTATACTGTATTATATGTTATCACAAGTACTACACATAAACCTTGGTTGCCTTGTTGCAGATGGGCTGAAAGACCTGCAGAAGTTTTCAGTGGAACATGATGGATGCAGCAGTCTGTCAGTGCTTCTCACATCGTACAGAGGGTGAGACAGGTTGTCCGCAGCATCCTCTTACCCTCAGTGGGTCCAGAGAGCWGCTCAGGACAAAGTCAGCTCTCCTGACACGTTTGCTCAGATAGTTCTGTCCCTCTCTGAACCCCCACAGACCCAACAGACAGGGGGCTCCTGCTCACTTCAAACAACCAGTCTTCTCAGCAAGTAGATGTGATGTTGGCCCTTGTGTGTGTGTTTAGATGTAACACAAATATCAAGAAACTTCTCATTTCAAATTTTTACCATGTTCTGATGATAGAAAATACTACTTTGAGGTATTCCATTAAACTACCTCCATTATTCAAAATAGATTGTGTTTTAAGCTGAGTAAAGAGTGCGTACGGTTTTACACGCTAATGTTTCCACTTATTAGTGAATTTGCAATGGTTATTTATATTTGCTTCGCTTGTTTGGTTCACCCTACAAACAGGATGGCTCACACTGACACCTGCTGGATCCTCCCACAACCTCCGTATTTAAAGCTCAGCACAACAGTGACAGGTGTGCGACAGATTAGGGCTACCTAAACACTGGGCCATCGACCGGGAGAATACTAAATCTGTCCTAGTCAGACCTGAGGTAAGTGGGCCTGCTTGCTTCTTGGCGTAAAGGTAAAAAGCACAATGCATGAAACAAACTGAAACAACTGGTAAAGCTGAAGCAACTTGTTTAAGGATTTCCAACTCTGTCATCAAACATCAGAACAGGACAAGTGTCTACTTGTTTTAAAATAGCTTTCAGTCAAAAATGTACTTTTTGGTCTGATAAATACATCTTATTAGTGTTACATTAAAAGCCATTGTTGTTAATTATATACTCTCAGCTTGGTTGTACAGCACTCTTCTTAGAAACTCTCAAACTGAAGCTTTACACCCAAAACAACAAGAAACTTTTTACAATTTACTATTCCATTAAAACAGCTACTTTCACAAAATTACTGAGAAAAAACAAACCTGAGGATGTGGCTTTATTTCAGCAGCTGATGCTTCGTGTGTGTGTCTTGAGGCGTGAGGCCAACATGGTGAGCAGCAGACTGACAGCTTGTGTCCTTCTACCAGCTCTTATCCCTTCGCCTCTCTAATAAACACGCAGGAGATTTGTGTCATGGTGTGCTGTAAACAATGTTTGTTTGCACAGACTGTAGCAGCAGCATATGATAAATTAATGTTTGGAAGAGTTGGGTAGTTTGGGTAGTTTTACATATTTTGCAAACTGAAAGAAGTTTGGAATCAGTAAAATGTTGGATTTTGGTTTCATAGCTTTGCCCATTTTTCTTATTTTGTATTCTTCTGAAGGTCTTTTTTTAAGTTAATTGAGACCATATTTAATTGACTAACCCTWACTACCCCTGTACACCTGAGTGAGCTTTTACCTTTGACAATTTAGAAGCATTYCCTTTCAAGATTACGGTAATTCTGGGAAGGAAAAAAACAGCTAGGGAAACTGTTGCCATCTAGTGCTAAATGTGTATTATTACATACACAGAAAACTGCTGAACCATGCAGCCTTATGTCCTGCCTTATGTTAGTGTTATCATGTTTTATATTAATTTTGCAAACATTTTTGTACTTAAGCACTTAGTAAAAGTATAAACCCAGCTACAGTGCCGTCATGGAAAACTGAGGATCATTATGAAACCAGGTGGATTAAATCTAATGCTGTTTGGTTATGGTAAATATTAAATGAGTAACTGTATTTTTTAAACATTTCATGATTTGCTGTAATATATTTTGCCTTGTAAGTTACCAGGTCAGACCTGGAGTTGTTAAATTTTAAGGAGTTACAAAAAAAATATAAATAAAGATTTCAGTAAAAAATATCTTCACCGTACTGCTTCAGAAAACCAACAGTTAAGAATGATTATTCATATCCACCATATTTTGCTTTTGTGTTTTAGGTACTGAGCATCATTGATCTTCTAATGGTTTTAAAGCAGTTTGAAACATTTTATTGCAATAGTTATTTAATAAATTAGTTTAATGCTGATTCAGGGCCAGCCCAAGCCAATTTGGAGTCCAAGATTTCAGGTGGTGACCCTTGCACAATTTTCTATATCCCACTGCCATTTTATATACATTATGATAGCAAATTAAATGGTTTTGTCTTTAGTATTATTTTTTTATCTTTAATAATTAGCTTGTCCATTTAAAATAGTTAACAATATAATTCATTTGAAACAGAATACCAGAAGTCTACGTATACCTGCCGACAGCAATGAGGAACACCTGTTCCTGTTAACCGGCAGCAGCTGTGGTGTGAAGCAGTTCTAGGGGGACCCAGTACACTCCCCTGGAAAATTTTGTAAAATATCTACTCAAAATTGCTAATTTTTAAGCCATTTGAAGTTTTTTTTACTAAATATTTGTAATTAATAAAACAATATTAAAGCAATATTTTATAAAGGTAGAACACTGAAAACCATATACTTTAATCTGAACTTTATGTGGCCAAAACCGTTTTTATCCTTATTTTGTTTTCTATTTACACTCAGAGCACCAGTAGTTAATCTTGACTGATACTTTTATGTCAAAACATCATATGCACCACATAAACAGGCTGAGAAACCCACAGAACAAGTTACCTTCATAAACTTTTCTACAAACTAAATCGAAAGTTATAAAATGTTTTTTTTTTGTCTCCCATTTGTGGTGCCCCTTAGATAACGGCACCCTTAGCATTGCCCTATTCTGCCTATACTACAGGCAAGCCCTGAGTGAATTTGAAGAGAAACACCCTAGTTTGCAGTCATTAATGTTTCCTTTGGTAATAACATGTTACTTTTTATTTATTTGAAATCCTAAAGAGCCTTCAGTCTGCAATTAAAGGTTAACAAGGCTATTTTGTTAATCTACAATAGAAATATGCAAAGAAAATGTCAGGAATGAAGTCATCTGGATATTTTCTAACATTCATTCATCACCCTGGTTCTTTTTCCCAGCTGCTTGCAGCTTTGTGTTGAGTCCTTGACCTGCAAAAAAAAAAGCTGATTAACTTCAAAAATAAATAAAAAAGTTCATTTTTATTCAGACCAGAAGGGACAATGTGATAACCCTGAAAGTTTAAAAACAGCTTACATTAAATTGTTTTTGAATGGAACTGTTGCATATCTGTTTTGTTTCATATTGTTATACTTTTCTTTCTTGTTCATTAGATTTTAAAAGCCTTTTTTTGTAATTCCTGACTTCTTGTTTCAATCTTGTAATCTTTTTGTTTTTATGGATTCATTTATGAACTGTTCAGGTTTTCTTTTCCCCATGTCATCCTTTTTTTCTTCCTGTTGGTATTTGTATATCCTGATGCATCTCAGTAATCCAGGTAGAAGATCGGCACAAACAGAGCAATGTTGTATATGCTGTTAATTGCCAGGAGGACTGCGACCAGTTATACATCGGGGAAACAAAGCAACCACTGTTCAAAAGAAGAAGCATTTCATCAGAGAAGAACCCGTCCAGAAGACCTATATAATTTTTTTCTTTTTTTTTTTCCTTTTAATATACTTTAAATCCTAATTTGAATTGGTTATGTAGCTATTTATTCTTCTGACATCTAACCAGTATAAAATAGACTTGTTCACCTTCCCCTAAACATCATGAAACGACTTTTGTAATGACTTAAAAGAAGTAATCTTTTTAAATTGAACTCCTGAAATGTCTGAGAGTATCACTGCAGCAGAAATCAAAAGCATCGCCTGCGGACATGAAAACCGAGGAGGACGATGAGGTGGTGCGGGCCGGGGTGGAGCCAGACTTCAGCTCCAGCCTCTGGTTTTTTTTTTTTTTTTTTTTTTTTTTTTTTTTTTTTTTTTTTTTTTTTTTTTTTTTTTTTTTTTTTTTTTTTTTTTTTTTTTTTTTTTTTTTTTTTTTTTTTTTTTTTTTTTTTTTTTTTTTTTAGCAGCTCAACCATTTTCATTTTGTTTACCCCTGTAGTCGCTGCTTGGACCAGCATTTCCGCAGCAGAAAGCGGAACGAGAACAGGAGATATTTGATAACATTTCAGCCTTCGACAGAAATCAGAAGAAGCGGAAGGTATGTGGAAACCGGAAGTGTTCAGATTTAGCTCACGCGGGTCACAGCACGGACGGGAGGCTGTTWACGGACATGTCGACAACATTTACAGCTAAAAACGTCATGGCTAAAGATTCAATACCGAGATATGATTTTGTAGCGGGGGGYAAAAGTAGTTTGTGGTCATTAAAACGCGTTTTTTTTAATTTATTTATTTATTATTTTACAACGAGCAGCTCAGTCCTGCGTTAGCTTACTCCGACTGCACCACACAATCCTCATAAAAGTTATAATCTGAGAGGAAACTGGATTAAATTAACGTATTAAGTGTTTAATCACATTTAAACACTACTAAGATATGTTACAGTGATTTACCAGATTTATCTTCTGGTTTGACAGATTTTTTTTCTTTTTCCCTCAGAAGGAAATGTTTCTTATAATAAACAGAGCAATTTTCACCATTTTAATTTTCACTTTTTATTTGCAAACAATTTGCATTCAATATACATTTATTGGCTTTGCGTTCTAAATTATGACATTTCTCAGATCAATATAGTTTGTTTACCTAAAAATGCAAATACTGAAACACTAAGTGTTTGTGTGTTTAATGTTTTTACATTGAATTATTGAATTTGATTCAGTGATTCTCAGATGAGTAGTATAAAAATACACCTGCTGATTACTCTGGGTTTAATATAGCTGTCAATAAGTTTTCATTAAGATATGAACATGTTTATACATTAAAAATTCTATGATTAACTGGAGTCTGTGTTCCAAAATAGCCCAATAAATTGCATTTATTGTCATATAATAATACAGTAAACAACATTAAACATTAATTATTTAATGAAAAGCAGAATATCTGTATAACCCAGAGATTTTTATTTATTTTTATTTGAGTTGTTTTGAATTTTATTTTGATCTTTAACTGCTTAGGACCTGAGTAACCAAGCAGTTTCTGGTATTTATTCTTAAATAAAACACAAATAAAATGTTTATGTGTGGAAGCCCTAAGCGACAGTTTAAACTGCTGTAAATGATCAGCATTTAGGATGTGGGCTCGCAGCAGCCCGACCCTTCTGGTATTCAGTAAATCTTTTATATATATGAAAAACACATTTTATAATTTGTAAAGAACAGTTTAGATAATACATTTATTAGTCTTCTTTAATATTTGAATGATACGCAATACTTTGTGTTTGTCCTCATATTAGCATCCTGCTCTGGACAGCTACTGTTAAACTCTGTTTAATAAATATACTTTGTTTTCATCAGGGATTATGAGACTGTCTCTCCATTATTTATAATTAAGAAGGTGTTTATTTCAGTTTGGTAGAGGCCAAAGCAATTTAATAAGACTTTTTGACTGAAACGTCATCCCAACAACTTAAAGAGAAGAAGAAACCTAGTAAATACTGATATTTGTAAAGCCAAAGATGAATTATTTTAGTTTGGCTGGTCTTGTGCAAGAGCGCATAAGATTAGTTTTGTGTGTGTGTGTGTGTGTGTGTGTGTGTGTGTGTATTATAATAGCTTTGAGTTTGTTCCAAGTGTTTAAAGTATTGTGGTGTTATCCCGAAAGAGAGACAACACTCCCATTAACAAACAAAACACAATTTTCAGTAAGTGTGTCAGACAGTACATTCAGACTTGATTTAAAATGTAAACATCTTCATGATGTGTCTTTAAGTAACCTATATAAGAAAGAAATATAAGAAGACAATAAAAATCAATTGTTCTGTAAAGATGAACCCTACATACACAGAAGCATTTTCAGTTTTCGTTGAAAAGGAAGCCTGTCCCCTTTCAAACTAATAAATTAATTTCTTCATTCAGCAGTCTCCCACCGCCTCCTGGAAAGTAAACAAAAGTGACGGCAATTCTGTTTAGTTTGAATTTAATTAGCAGGACTACAATAACAGATGGCCAGCAGACAGAAGCCAGACGTAGTAAGCGTGGGGGTGGGGAAGGAGGAAGGAGAGTCAGGAGGAGAGAATGAATAAGAGACGGTGCAAGTTTGGGCTTGACTGCTTAAGTTCCCCAGGAAAATTGTGGGGTTAAAAAAAAAACAAAGGATGCGTTGAACAGAATTCACGTAAAGACTACAATGTCAATATATCACTTATGTTGTAAACATTAAATGTTAGTGTTGGGTAATGTGGTGGTGGTACTAAAATTTTAAACTAAATTTAAACTACTGTAAACTGAATTTGTCATCTTTCTATTCTAAAAGGAAAAGGTGAGGTTTTGCTTTTGGAAGTGTTGAGTGTTGGTTGCAGATACRTGAAAACTAGGTGTTAAATTCCCGACTTTGGCTGAGTCAAAGCTCTTACTGAGCTGTTAGTCATGGGTTCACTCTGTGTACAAATGTAATAACCCAGCTCACTGACTCTGCCCACTCCGCTGATCTAACACTGCTTCATGCTCCACCTCAGCTCGGTTACGACCTAACACACAAATAAAGACGGATCAAGCAYCCCCAGTAACTTACGTTGTCCAAACTTGAAASCAAAATGTCCACTTTAGGAGCTGCCATGTTGCATTTTTGGAGCCAGAGTCTTCCCACTAGGGTCTTGAGGCTTTACTACTCATGAAAGTCCTGCCTACACACCCTCCCAACTTGCTAACAGGCTGGCATATTGTCAGTCATTGTGTAACGTAAGTCTAAAATAACTAATTAAACCCAAACGTTTGGGAAAAATGCATATTTAAACATACAAGCAGCAAGAGAAGAACTGCTCGTCTGCAACTAATGACAAATATTCAACTAATTTGTTGATCATGTTTTGATTAGTCAATTAGTCCGTGATTATTTCTGTCACATCCTCCATCTACGCTACCTGTGCACTTTCTGTTCCAGCTCCAGTGCACATCTCACCTCACCTGTTCACACCTGAGAATGTCACCCTGATAACATAATAAGTTCCCATAGATWATTGAAATAATGACTCGTCAAACTTAAGCTTAATAACCTAATTGCATGTATTTCTGACATTAATACGTGTGATTCATAAGGAAAAAAAATACAAAAAGTGCAAGACATTAAACAGCCCCCCCCCCCGTGGAAGATATTTTTGAATGTTGTGTTGGTTTGACGATTAAAAATGGGCTTTTTAAGTGAATTGTCATACGCCTATTCAGACCATGTAAAAGTGTAATCTAAAAGTGCAGAATGTGTTCAAAAGCWTCATCCTAAAATTTCTTTGGTTGAYCACAGCMGCRGTGATATCAAACCAATTATATTCCAGACAAATTGCACAAGAATGCTTTTTTAAGCTGTAAAATTTACAGTGAGAGATCAAATAATGCGTTTGTTTTTTTCTTATATTTCTTCTACACTTCTCTGGATTAAAGTTCTTATTTTCTGCTCCATTTTTTTTTCAGCATGGGGGTTTATGAAGAGAAAAAGGAAACATGTGGAACCATCTGCCTGAAGTACCTRCTGTTTACCTTCAATTTTCTCTTTTGGGTAAGTTACTGTTTGAGTGCATTGAGCTCTAACCTATCAAACACATGAATCTTTTTTTAATTCAAACCCAAAACATTTCAGAGTACCGTACTTAAAAAAATTAAATAAAGATGTGCAAACTAAGCATTTATTTTCTTAAATTAACCAAATGCAAATTGTACATTTTTACATCATGTTGAAAAGCTCAGACTGGCCACTGGCTGCCACTTTGCAGTTTACAGGAAAATACATTTTCCAGAATCTGAGTTGCTTCAAACTTATTTCAAGATTTATTTCCGAATTTTCCTATTTCTAAACTTACTATAAAATAATATATCTAAAATTGGAATTAATTGTAAAAATAACATTTGTATGGACGGCAATAAAACAAACAAACAAACAAAAAAAAAAACACACACACACACAAGGTACTCAAAGTTTCTCGCCTGGACGTGGATTACTGGGAGCTCCAACCTGGAGCCAGACCTGGAAGAGAGTTTTCTAATGTAATTGCTGTTAAAACCGAAGAAGTGGTCAAATATTGTTAGGTGATTATGAAATCATCAGTCAAAGTTGCAACTCAGTTTGCAGWCTCAGTCTTTTGCAGATTTTTTCATAGTACCTAACTACTAGTAGTTTGCTGTAATTTTGCAGAAATAGTAAATACAGTAAATATAGTAAGGAACATTTTTTTATTAAGAACAAGAAAATTTACTAACTTTGTAACATAAAAATAGTCTAAAATTAAATTCCATATAAAAATAAAGTACTATACAGTACGTGACGCATGCTTTGTGCAGAATTTCCACTTTTTAACAGTTTACGGTACAGTAGTAACTGTACGTAGTGTGTTTAGTGTAATTAGTGTAGCGTAGTGTGTAGCTGTTAACTGTTTTGCTCTAATGTTTGTTTGTTTGTTTGTTTGTTTGTTACTGCATTATGATACCACCCAAATGAGCTGCAGGCCATTTTTGTACTGCATCCAGTATTTTTAAAATTTTTTCCCAATTAGCAGGTACTTCAAGAACGTAACTCCCGGAAAAATTGGGGCTTCACTGTAAAATAAGTCTTTACTGTATTTACTGTAAAATAAATCTTTTTTTTTTTCAAGCATGAGAAAGTTCCAGTTAAAGTTTTCACAAACCAAGTTCTGTTTAGGGATTRGCTAGTTTTCTAAATCCAATCCTCAACAAAAAGGAGGGTTACACAAYACTTCCTTCCATTCATCCATTAATGAGAATATTAACCTTCTTACGTTATCAATAGGGAGAGTTTTGTGATGAAACTTCATGAAAAAGTTAGCAAAATATTTTTATCACTCCCTAAATAGATTCCAACTTTTTGGTTTTGGTCCTTTTCTCAGTTAGCTGCACCCTAATTGAAACACACACACACCGAACAACAGCAGTATAGTGACACTTTCGTTTTTCAGATTTAAATCTTTATTCTAGCCAAAGGAATTCAGTGTAATAAATYTGAAGCTACTTTTAACTTGTGCCAGATATTCTGWGTGTAAACTAATTTTCAAATGCAAAGTGTGGGCATGTGCAAAGGGAAGATGTSTGTGATTTTCACTCAGTCTCAGTGTGAACTCTCACTAACACTAACCCATATGTGAAAAAAAAATCTGTCTGCCAAAGATTCAGAGCTTTGTGAAACTGGCAAACACCATCGTTTTTTCTCTGTTTTGGGAAGTGTTAGAGTGAATGTTTTAGAGCAGATTCAGTTTGTCTTTTCTTTTACAAAGTGTTTTAGTTAGACAAGGACAAAAATATAAACAGAAAAACAAAAGACTTAAAAGAACTAAACTACAATAAATACAGTCTAATAGTAACTATAAAAACATACGTATGTTTTAAGACCATTTTTAAAAGTATAAAAAATACTCCATTCTCAGGTTTTTTAAGGAGAGGTTTTCCAAAGTTTGTGGCCATAATGACTAAAAGCAGGCTTATCCTTTTTCATTTGGCACTTTGGTACCACCAGTGGATTGTCTTTGGATGGTCCAGTTGGAGCACACCTGGTAATTTTGTCACTGAGATTTACGGCGAGGCAAGACCGTTAAGGCACTTAAAAACTAATAATGAAAACTTAAAATCCAATCTAAAAGTTCCAGAATTTAGTGTTGGTTTCCTCGTGTTCCTTTGTGTGTTGAAATTCTAGCAGCGGTGTTCCACGTAGAGAGAAAGGAATGTTTAAAACAGTTACTTATTTGATAGGCCAGGGAAGAGTGAATTGCAGTAATCTAACAGGAAATTAAAGCACATGCTCACTTTTTGTTGTTAGTTTTATTGAGCCTTTGAACTTTGGTGATAGGGATCGCTTTCAAAAAATAACTCTTAAATTCCTAACCATGTTTTTTATCCTTGAAGGAAGGACAATCACAGCATGCTACTCTATCCTTTTTTTGCAGCTCATTTTCAATCAGCAGAATCTGAAAATGCACACACTAAATTTACATAAAGATTCTTCACTCACAGCGTGAGTGAAGAATCACTTCACACAAGTGGAAACAGCTCACTTTTTAACTGAAGTGACCCTAATAATTCACACAGTTCCTGTTTAAATAAATGAAAGCTAGTTAAATATCAGTGTGAACCCTCTCAGTTATCCRAGGTTCACTCTTGTTTTAACTTGTCACAGTTCATCTTTCATACTCAAAAAGAGAAAAGTACTGTTCACTTTARTTGGTTTGAAACAATAGCTTTTAGTACAGTTTGTTGAATAAACATACCTTTTCTTTAAGYAAGGTTACAAAACAAGCCTATCAGGAAACCAGTCAATAAAATAAAAAAATGATAAACCTAGTGTTTGCTTTAAATTTTGTTGTATGCTGTGATAACAATGACTATTTATCTGTCAGTCTATTAACTGAGCATGAACACAGGGTGTAAATCTGGTGTACTTAATGAACACATGTAAATCACATCCCTTATAGAGAGTAACTCTTTCACAAGTGTTTCACCTTATAATCACCAAATTCAGAAGTCCCAGTTGTTCCCGTTAGGTGTCGCCAAAGTTTGCATTTTCTCTGTAAGCCTTCACATGATGTATTGAACACAATTCACAAAATACTGCGGTTTATTGAGTAGAAACAACGCAGACACACCAACGAGATGATCACACAGATTACTCAGAGCCTTGACTGTTCTCAAAGAATCGTTTTATCTGCCATAAAAGGCAGAAGTAATACTGAATTTATCTCTCGAAGTTATTTATAGCTGATGACAGGGTGCTCATTTGTAGGTGTTCCTTTTAGTGAAGCAATCACTGAATATTTATCTGAATAATGCTGCCATTTGCAGGCCTAGAAGATTTACTGGATCACCGTTAAATGTGGTTTTAGACTTAAGTGAAGATGTTCAGTGTGTTGGATGTGCACTACAACAACTGTCTAAAAAAACCCACAAAAAAGTAAAAAGAGGAAAGTTATGAGTTTCGTTTTAAAAGCAGTTTGTTCTTCATGTGGCATGACTCATGTCCAGCAGTTTTTTTCTGTTTTTATTGTCACCATGTCTTTGGGTGTGGTTCTGTTTGACTCAGAGTTTAACTATAGTCTGAGACCAAATCCTCCTTAAACCACAGCAGTTATTTGCTGAATTAAACATTTATTTTCTGTCTAAAACACAAACCTTGTTAATACTTTTAAAAGTTGTGACAGATATTAAACCAAAGCTTATTTTCTCAGTAAATTAGCTATTTTTTTTTTGTTGCTATTTTTGTCAGGAATCTTCTCTCTTAATAGTTATTTTTAATTAATGGTGGAAAAATGTTTCTTCACATTTTTTTCCGAGTGAGGGTTAGCGAACTGGTAAATCTAAAACTTGAGGTATAAAGTTTACTCTCAAAAGTACTATCTATTTTTTAATGAGAACAATTGCTGTAAAACACAAAAAAGAGCTCTAGATGATTGACAGAGTAGCATCGGTGCTTTGAAATGAAACTTTTCAAAGCACCGGGGGGAAAGAAAGATGGGAGGAAAAAAAGAACTTTCTGATCCACTTCAGCAAAAATTCTCTTATCTGAGCTGAATGTTCATTTAAGTTCTTTCACTATCACATCATTATCAGTGATATGTGATTATAGAGTCCTTAATTTCAAATTATGCATACAGATGGGCCACGGTTCAGAGAATCTGCATGTGGATAGTTGGTGTCATGATGTTTGCCTGATAAGAGTTTTATATATAAAGTTTGAGATGACGTTTGCAAGCCAGTGTCATTAAGGGCTATTTTATAGGACCCTGAACACAAGTCGCAATGCAGGAGATCAAACAAATATCAGCGTTTTAAAGTAACTAAGTACAGATACTAGGGCTGTGTATTGGGAAGAATTTGGCGATACAATACATATCATGACAGAGGGGTCACGATACGATATATCCCGCTAAATTGCGATACTGTAAGCAAGGCAGTATATTGTGATATATTGCGATTTTTTTTTGGTCCAAAAATTCTGTTAAATAAAAACCTCTTACTGGGAAACAAATGAAAAACAAAAATTCATTGTCTCATTAAATTCTATTACATAGACATGTGCTAGCTTTCTGTAACGTGAAGGTTGACTACAGTTGGAAAAAAGAGCGCACGAGACACTTAATTTGGTTTAAAATACATTCTGATAAATAAATAACTGTTACCTTCCCTCAGCTTAGAAGGCAGAGGGTGTCGGTCTTTTCCACTCAGATTCAGCTATCGGAGCATGAAGCTAATGTTTACTCGTAATGCTAATGCTACCCTTACTCTCTGGCGCTCAAGAGGTAGAGGTGCCAAATGCCTAGCTCACTGCTGCKAACTAGTGGTCAGAGGCTGAACTACAGCATAAAAATGAATGGCTGGCAGGAAAGTTGACTTTTTAAACCTTAATAAAAAATCGATACAGGGCTTTAGAATATCGAAACAGTATCGGGATATGAAATATCGCGATATTGCAGTGTATCGATATTTTCTTACACCCCTAACGGATACTTTGTTACTATACTTAAGTAGAAACTTTGGTTATCTGTACTTGAGTAATTATTTTTCAGCCTACTTTTACTTCTCCTCACATTTTCACACCGTTATCTGTATTTTCTACTCCTTACATTTTTTTAAATAAGAAGTAGAAAGTTGTTACTTCCATTTCATTCTGGCTCCTTATTGTTAAAAATAATACTATCCTGATAAATTGTGCCTCCCATATGAATTTAATTGTGGTTGGATGAGAAGTATAAATAAATACCATTCTGGCACAGAATTAGTTTGTGCACAATCCATSAGCTGCACCCCTTAAGAATTTTGTATTTTTTATTTTTTGGAGAGGTCACCTCCCAAGAAATATCATTTTAGATAATCTAACTGCTCGTTTTTACTAAATACTTTTATTTTTGATACTTAAGTACAAAAAATTCTGATACGTTAAGACTTTTACTCAAGTAATATTGTTAGAGGAGACTTTAATTTTTATCAAAGTAATTTTTATGATAATATACTTGTACTTGTACTCAAGTATCACTTTGAGGTACTTTATACGCTGACAAATATCCAGCAAATAAAAAGGTACCACAAAATCATGCAACCCAGGAGCTAAAAGGAAGGTTAAACATGACAAGAACTATGTAAGAGCACGTTTAAAGACCTGACACTGAACACCATTAATGATGATTAAAAAACAATAACAGGAGTGTAAATACWGAAGGAGTTAACTAAAGTCCATTGATCTATTCTGTACCAACTTTTCCCATGCAGAATCTTTGGACAGAAAGATAAGGTACACCCTGATAGTTTTGGTGGTTGTTGTCTTTCCTCCACATGTCACMGATCAGCTTACTCTGACCAACAAATTAGGGCTGCAGGGTCACAGATGGATCTGAATGATGTTCTGCTGCAGAAATAATTTTTTACGAGTTCTAATTCTACCATTACGAACAAAAATGTTAAGCGCTGTCTTTAGAAAGTTTGCGGTGGTTTGTATAACACTAATTTAAACTTTCTTGCGCTCAGATTTTTTGTTTCAGGTGTTGTAATTCGAGGATGTTTCCCCGACCAGAATGTCAGTTACATGTTCCAGTCGGACCTCTAGCAGAAAGCAGGATCTCATCGTGTGCTTCTCCCTCTCTCTCTCTCTCAGTTGGCAGGAGGAGTTGTGATAGCGGTGGGTGTTTGGACCTTAGTTGAGAAGAGCGACTACATCAGCCTTCTCTCCTCCAAGACCTACGCTGCCTCTGCCTACATACTGGTCCTGGCTGGAGTCATCGTCATGGTAACTGGCGTGCTGGGATGCTGTGCCACTTTCAAAGAGCAGAAAAAGCTGCTGCGAGTGGTAAGAGGTCACATTAGGATAGAAAGATAATGCACACTGCCCACAACTTCACACATTATGAAATATTATAATGTGTAAAAACCATCTGTTCTGCTAAAGCTGAACTGAAGGAATAAAAACACATTTTTCCTGCTGCGTCAGCAACTTTAGGCAGTTTAAATTATGACAACTGAAAACAGAGGTGGGCAGATATACAGCTATTTACTGAAAATATAAAGTATGCATGTAGAGAAAATATCACTGAATGTACTTTATTAAATGTTTTGTGATTTGTTATTTTACTTTTAGCTCAAAAAGCAGAAAAGATAAATATTAGTGGAGTAAAAGTATAACTACAGTATATTACAGTTTGGTACATACCTCGGAGTGAGGGTCAACGTTCAGAGCAACAAGAACAAAAACAAATTCCAAACGCTAGTTGTTATTTATTGGAGGTTTTATTTAAATACAGACAATATATTATTTTAGGTGACTATGAGTTCATAATTATTTTTTCAGACATTTTTTACTGTTGATTATTCAATGGATGAAAAATTTCTTATAGTTTTCCAAACGTGAACACTTTGTCTGGATGAAAACATGACAAAACCTGACATTAAACAAATAAAAAAAAGCAAACTACAAAATAAAAGTATTAAAATATTCACGACATACATTAAAGCTCAGTATTTAGTGTCACTGTTTAGGATCCACTAATGACCGCCCTATGAAATTTGGGTTAGCTAAAACAAATATTTATTTTTCTTATTTGTTCCCGCATTCGGTTGTTTTTCTTTTTTTCATATCTGCCTGTTTTTATTATCTATCTTTAGAATAAATGGCTATTTTTATGGTTGCAAATATAGAATAAAGAAATAGAATTTTCTTCCTGTGAAATAGTTTTGTGAAATATAAAAAAAAAATCTCCTAAGTCCGTATGATTTGATTTTTTTAAACTTCACACCTGCTTGCAGTGCATCTCTCTCCCGTTCGCTTCTTTCTTTTTTTTTCAAATGCTGGATGCGTCCTGGAGAGTTGAGATAAGGGCAATGAATCACAGTGAAAGAATGCACTTGTCGGCAAGGAGAGATGCTATCGAGATTGTTAATAGAGGGTGAACTTAAGGGCGAGACGGAGGGGGAGCGCTGTAGGATAATTGTTTTTCTTTTGCCTTTGCTTGAAGTGCTTCACTGGTTTCTGTTGAAAATTCGGTGAGTGACACGGGTCACAAGTTCTGACAACTAAAAAAAGCTCATTTTTATTCAACGTACAGTATCTGTTGTATTTTGCTGTTATAAGGTCTAAATAACTCAGCTGCAGCCCCTTTTGATCAAAGGAAAGAACTTTTAGGGACTATGTTTTAAATGTTTGCACTGAAACAAAAAAAAAGGTCAGAAGATATGAAGAGCAGAACTGTTGTACTAACTTAAGATGTGTGTATTTAATTTTGAAGTGGYATTTGTGATAAATCAAAACAATTTTGTGACCAACTGGTGTTGCCAGGTTAATTGAGAGCAGCAAGTTCATGTATAGCTTTTTTTTTTCATCAGGATTATTATTCGTAGTTGTGATACTTCCTGTTATTACAACAAATCATTTCTATACAGTATAAAATAAATCTTTCAGTCTTATTTGAAAAATGTTTTTGTCACCATAAACAATTTGATATTTAGTTGAGTTTATGTTTTCATCACAAAGGTGTTGAGCTGCTGAGAGGACAGAGAATTCAGGCAGTAATCAATGTCTTATGTCTGCATAAACCAGAACAAAACAATTCCATTAGGGCAATCTGCTGGTAGCCAAAAATATGGAGGAACCTCGGCTACAATTTTTCATCTTTTCTTGTTACATAAAAGAAGCAAACAATCTGAGAGCATGTTTAGTTGACTTTAAAAGGTAAATATGATAGCAGCAGTACATGTTTTGTAGAAATGTTCTTTTCCACTGCTGGCAGAAATTAGTTGTGACTGCATGTTATATCTCTCATATTTCATGTATAACTAATAGAATGATCAAACAAACAAAATATAACAATAGTTTCATAAAAGAATAAATACAGACGTGAAAGAGCACTGTTTAAAAAGACCCTAAAAGCGGCCCTGCCTCCACCTGAAAGAGAGGTAAAGAGAGAGACGAGCCAGCTGCACAGTTTGTGGTGCTTTAGATCTTGGGATTAAACAATATTAACACTAAAAGAGGTAAAGTTGTTTAAACAAAAGTGTAGCAATGGTATGTCTCTATTTAGGTTCTGAATTTTTCGCTTTAACCCCTAATTTACACTACTTGCGTTCTGTCTCCGCTGCGCTCCGCTGCGCTGCGCAGGTCGCAGCTGTGCGTTTCAAGTCCAGTTTACACCACCTCCACTCCACTCCGGTCCGACAGATGTGCAGGAAGCAGATCGCGCGATAAATTCAGTGATAAGTGTGGAAGTCACAGCAAAAAATAATTAATTCTGTGAAAGATGAACTCCAAACACAGCTGAAAACAATGATATAAAGCCTTCTGGTATCTATGTTGAAATTGTCTCGCTGTCSGCTTTCTGAAACTTCTGATTTCAAAATAAAATCCACATGTATCGTGTGTGTACACACGTGCTTCATGTTACATGTTTCCATCTGCTTCCCAAACAGAACAATACATTCTGACAGCATTTGTGTAGAAATATATCCGTAAATTTATTAATATAGCTGCAATTTCAACGTTATTCRGACAAATTATCCAGCCTAAAAGTGTCTTATTTTGAAAATACAGATGTTGTGCTCGTTTCTTTTCCTGTTGGTGCGACGTAATCTTTAAAAATTGACTCCGGCGCTGCTCCATTGTCCGGCAAAAATAGGATCTGTTCTAATTTTGACGGAGCGCCGTCCGCTCACCGCCGCCGTGCGCAGCCAGTGTAAACACTCTCATTGATTATAATGGGTGCGTATTTGCTGCGGAGGTCGGACCGGAGCGGAGCGGAGACGGAACGCAAGTAGTGTAAATTGGGGSTTAGGGTCAAATATAAAACCTAAATTGCAGTTTTCACATAAATTGAGGAACAAGGTGTGAATTGAGTTTAGGTTAGTTTTAGGGTCAGTTAGGTAGGTGGGTATCTGTGAGGTAAATTTTAGGGTAAATGGTTAGGGTTAGGCTATAAAATATCAGAAAAATGAATGGAAGTCAATGGAAAGTCCCCACAAGGATAGAGAGACATAGTAGGTGTGTATATGTGAGTGTGTGTGTTTCTATCCCTCGAGCTCGAGCCACTTCTGCATCGTTTAAAGAAACTTAACAG